AGCACGCGCGCACACATGAGTATGTGAGTATGCATGCCTGTGTTCACATGTTGGGGTAAAAACAGGACTTGAGGCATCTTTTATCACTTGCCACCAAATTGCCCTACATGGGGTCCCTCCCTGAACCAGAAGCTCACCATCCTGTCTAGACAAGCTCCCAGAATCCACCTGTCTCTACTCCCCAATGCTGAGTTTCCTGGGAAATGTAGCCATGCCCAGATTTTCACTTGGTTGCTAGGGATTTGAACTCAGGTCTACATGCTTGTAGAGAAGGTGTTCTTCCCCTCTGAGCCATCTCCCCATCCCCTCTGTCCTGCTAATTTTATGTCAGCTTGATGCAAGGGAGAGTCATCAGAGAAAGCATCTGTTGAGAAAATGCCTCCCTAAAGGCTAAATGCCCTGGCTGAAGGCAAGCTTGTAAGGTAAATGGTTGATGTAGAAGGGCCCAGCCCATTATGGGTGAGGATAAGCCTGAAGTGGTGGTCCTGGTTCTGTAAGAAAGCAGGCTGAACAAGCTATGATGAGCAAGCCAGTAAGCAGCGCCCCTCCATGGACGCTGCATCAGTTTCTGCTTCCAGGTTTCTGCCCTTATATGAGTTCCACCTTCCTTTCCTCCCATGATGAACTGGAATGTGGAAGTTTAAGCCAAATAACCCTCCCCCCCTCCCTTCCTCCCCAAGTTGCTTTGGTCATGGTGTTTCATCACAGTAATAGAAACCCTAACTAAGACACCCTGTAATTGAATTAGTGATTCTCTAGTGATACACAGCATGCACAACACCCTCATATATTTGCCACCTGGGGATCTTTGGTGAGGTTTCTGCCCACATATTTTTCCCATTTTTAGTTAAGTTGTCTAGTTTTGGGTGTTACCTGTTTTGGACCTTAGGCCTTAATAAGGGACATACTTTGCAAATATATTTCTCCAATCTGTGGCTTATCTTCTCCTTCGCTTGATGGTGTCTCTTGCAGAGCAGAGATCTTGGATTTTAATGGAGTTGAGCTCACCATTAGTTTCTTTGGTAGGTCATATGTCTTTGACATCATATCTAAGAAGATAAGTCCATACCCAAGGTCACCCAGATGCCCCTCCCCTGTTATTTTCTGGGAGCTAACATAATTTTACAACTTATATTTTGGCCTATTGTCCATTTTGAGATCACTCTTATGAAAAATGTAAGTTCTGTGTCTGAGTTGAGGGTTTTGTTTTGTTGTTACATAAGCACGTCATCTTTACCATTTGTTGAAAGAACTATTTTTACTCCTTTATAAATCTTAGAATTAGTATCTGTACTCTGACTTTATTCATCTCCAGCATTGGAGCATCTCCAGCATTGACTGCTCTGGACTCTTTTGCCTTTCTGGAATCAGTTTGTTGGGATTACATTGAGTTTATAAGTCAAGCTCAAAAAAGCTGAGGTTATGACAACATTGAGCTTTTATATCAATTACCTTTTCTGTTGCTGTGATAAGACATCATGGCCAAAGCCACTAATACATGAACACATTTAATTGGGTTCACAGTTGCAAAGGATCAGAGTCCATGAAGATCACTATTTGATCTACAAACAGGAAGCAATGTCTTTTCAAACCTCAAAGCCCACCCCCAGTGGCAGACCTTCAACAAGGGCCATTCCTTCCCAACCAGTTCTGCCAACGGGAGACCCAAGTATCCAAGCATGAGCCTAGAGGGGCCATTCTCACCCACTGCACCAATACTTCCAACTCACAAACATGGAGTGAACGTCCATGTTTTTCCACCTTTTAGGGTTTTTACGTCGTAATTTCATAGTTTCCCTCATATGCACCGTACAAATTTTGCTCGATTTTTGTGTAAGTATTTCATTCAGGAGTACCAATTGTTTTAGTTTTAAAATCCATTTATTCATTGCTGGTATATAGGGATTTGATTAACTTTTTTTTTCTGTTAACACTGTGTCCTGAACCTTATTATAACCAGTGATTTAGAGCTGCTGCTCTGAACAAGATTGCCCCAGTCCAACCCAGTGTCTGCTTCATAGTTCTTTTTCCTTGACGGTTTTACTCCCTTAGAATTGCAGCTTCCATGTAGAAGTCAGGGCCTCTTGCTTTCCTCCACAGCAGGGTAGCAGTTCATGTGTGCTGCTCTAATGACACAGCTCCTCTCTGATTGATATCCTGGTTTTGAGCCTTGCCTTTAATGGCCGAGCCATCTCTTTGGCCTGCTCCCCCATTCTTAAAGTTGTACTTTGTTGTGATGATTACCCTTCTCCTGGACCTCATCCATCCAACTATTGTGTGGAATTCCCAGGAAGGAGCCCTGATTTTTTTTTTTTTTTTTTTTTTTTTTTTTTGTAATACAGCTATTTCGGGTTTTGGATGTGGCAGTGAAGAGACAGGTATTCTAGTGGGAACCTAGCTGGGCCAATGTCCCAACTTCCATGGCTCCAATAGCCAGGAGCTCCTGCTACCTATCAGGAGCAGTCTTTGCAGGGCTGCAACTGGAGCCAGCCAAGCAGCCCCAAGTCCGTACCTGAGTGGGGGAGTGTGGATGAGGGAAAAGCTACCAATAGGCAATAAATAAAAGAATAAAGATCAGGGGGCAGATCAGTCAATTTTTCACCACTTTTATATACCTTAACCAAAAAGGGAAACACAGTATCATGTATATAGAATAAACAGACTTTCCTTCCTCACTTATTCTAAGGGTTCAGTAACCATACCTTAGCTCCAACTTCTCCTTCTCTAGCCTTGAGGTCAGGAGTAGCCACACCTCAGATTCAGGTCTGTTGTTATTTAGACTAAGACAGCCGAAACATCCTTCTGTAGCCACACCTTTGACCTTTAGGTCTTGTGACTTGCTGACAGCTTTGAACTCTCTGCCCTTGTACCAAGATGGAGTGCAGCCATCTTTATGGACAGCCACAGCTACCACTTCAACTCTAGCCTCAGTCCCATCATAGGCATATTCTAGCCTTGGCTCTAATGCCTTTTGTCTATGTGGCAGCACTGGACCATTCCTGACTTCACTGGCCTGGCATACAGCATGCTTGCATCCCCAGAGCTGGAGTATAGTGATGGATGTCTCTGCAGCCATTACTCCTCTTGAATAGCTACCTCCTGTGCTGGAGTTCCTGCCCCCAATTGCAACCAGTGTCATCTGCTGGTCTGTTGCAGGCCAGGATGTAGAATCACATTTTCCAAAACAGTTTGTTTTAAGGCATTCTATGGTCCAGCATGTGGTGTGTAAACTGAACCCTTCATGTGTGCTTGACCAGTGTGTGTCTTTCTGTTGGGTGACATAATAGAATCTATGATATCCAAATGATTTGGTATCTTTGCAGTCTTCAGCTGTGTCCTTGGTGATTATCTGTCTTCATGTCTGTTCCTCTCTGGTAGCAGGGTATTGAAGTCCCAAGCTCTAATAGCAGGATCATCAACTTTTGATTTCATCTACTGGCTAGATTTTGATGTTCTCTTGCTAGGTGCATTCTGGTGAGATGACTTATTTAATTACTGGGCACTGCCTCTCCTTGATGACATTGGCTTTCCTTGTTCTAAAAATGTCTGTATCTGATGTTGACATAGTATGATACAGGAAGCAGATTCATTCCAAAACCCTCATGGAAATGGCAGGAGATATGACCAAGAGCCTCCACAGATACTGGGAACTGCAAATAGTACCAGACTCTCTCTCTCTCTCTCTCTCTCTCTCTCTCTCTCTCTCTCTCTCTCTCCATATATATATCATATATATATATATATATGTATATGTATATGTATATGTATATATATGCTCTTTTTCATCTTGTAGTATATCTATGGCAGAGTTTATAAACTAAGCACAGTAAAGGTTAACAACAATAACCAGCAATAGAACAAAATCCTCGTAACGGTGGCCTGCCAGGTACCAATATCACTTCCTTTCCATTTTGGGGAATCATTGAGTAAAATGAGTACTGTCATGCCCTGTGTGGCCTGGGCCACAGTTTGGTTTGGAAGGGAGTGGAAAACTTTAGCAGACATGTCTCCTTAAACCACTTCCCGACTCCCTTCATCTAAGATGGAACCCAGTGCTCCATGCATGGGTAGATAAGGAACCATTCATTCTGCCATTGAGCTGTACCCTCTTAAAGCTCATTAGCCATAGTTTCTGGTTTGATAATTCTAACATCCTTGTCATGTCAGAGTCTAGATCTGTTGCTCCATCTCTTCAAACTGTTTTACATGTTTTATTTTGTTCTGTAATTTGTCTTCTTGATAGCCAAGTATTGTATTCTAGGTCAAAGGAGTGGCAGTAAGTGCTCTATGCCATAGTGTCTTATAGATAGCTTGTACCTGGGGAGTGTAAACCCCACAGTGCTCCCAAGATCCTCTGGCCTCAGGTAAAATAGGATGGCTGGAGTGGTCTGGACTTCAAGTTTGCCCAGGGTTAGTTAGAATCTGATAAAATGCAGCAATAAAACCCAAACACGATGTTTCTTCTCCTGCCAGGCCTGGGTAAGACAAGCAGAAATGCTCTGGCTTGTTTCACAGTTGTTTGTTTTTCTCTGACCGTCTTGAAAGTTGGCTGAGTGTCTCCTAGGATTACTAGGAAGCTTCCTGGATCATGTGACCCTAAAGAGAGTGGTGTGGAGACCACATTTGTGGCATCTATTTGGGCCTAGATTCAAGCTTAAGCCAGTGAAAACAGTTGGTTCTTACAGAGGCGCTGCCCTATTCTTCTAGAGGAATTGTAAATGTGACTTCTGCCTGTTATTTCATGTATATAGGAAAAGTGTGATGTGTGTGTGTGTGTGGGGGGGTTCAACTAAACATCTTCCAGACATTCTCTACAAGGTGGCTGACAGATGACTATAGTTCTTCGTATTGGGATGGGTAATGGCTTTTTTTATTTGTTTACTTTTATTTTTCTTCATTTTCCAACCTCTGTCCAATGAACATGCATGACTTCTGTCATTTGGTAAGGGTCACGTTTTAGGCATGACTATTGGATGTCTGTCTTCCCTGTCTCCTTACAGTCTGCAAAATGAATGTTCACCGTCGATGTGAGACCAACGTGGCTCCCAACTGTGGGGTGGATGCCAGAGGAATCGCCAAAGTGCTGGCTGACCTCGGTGTCACTCCAGACAAAATCACCAACAGCGGCCAGCGGAGGAAAAAGGTAGGGGCCACTGTTTCTGGAGCTTTCTCTACTCTAGAATGGGGGTGTAAGATTCCTAGGCTTAGGTTTCTTACTCAAATAATCAGAATATCATGTGTGTAGACAAAAATAAAGAGGGCAAGTAACATGGAAGTCTTATTATACCTCACAATTTGGGGGAGTGGTTGTGACAGGCAAGCCTTAAGAGTTATGTGTGGGTTAGGAAAAGCTTAGTGGTAATTTGGTTTTCTACATGTCTGTGAAACCTGGATTCCGCTCTCAGTTACAAAGCAGAATAAAAAGTTCACCAAGCAAGCTTTGAGACGAGGACCTTGAAGTCCCTTCTAGAAAAAGCATGACCATCTAAATCAGCAGTCCTCAACTTTTCCAATGCTGCCATCCTTTAATACATTTCTCATATTGTGGGGACCCCTCCAACCATGAAATTATTTTCATTGCTGCTTCATAACTGTAATTTGGCTATTGTTGTGAATCATAATGTAAATATCTGTGTTTTCTGATAGTCTTAGGTGACTCCTGTGAAAGGGTACACACACACACACACACACACAGAGGTCACTTCCTTCAGACAGCAAGCTGTGGTTTGTGCCATCTCTCACACTAAACTAACTGGGAAATACTTAATGACACATGGCCTTCTTAAGAGACCAAAGCCCTGTGTATCCATATGGACTTCCAAGCATCACTAGGAATCCTTGGATGTCTAATGTGTTGTTTTGACCAGTCAGAGCCTACACATACAAACAGCTAAAGGTATCTCCAGTGGTCACTGCTTCAGCAGTGATACCCAGTCTAGAAAACTCAAGAGGCCTTTGGAAAATAGATTGAGAGAAGCAGAGCTGTATTGTCTGGACAAATGACGCTGATGTGGGTGAGTAGGGTGTGGCCCCACCTGCCAGGTGTCAAACTTCTCTAAAGAAGAGCAAGACTGCCTGTAGGTACCTCACAGCCTTCACTCCTCACTGTTTTCTCTACATGTGGCCAGAAGAGCCTTCTAAGAAGCCTACACTTCCTCTCTTCTTGTTGTCAAACCTGCCTGCGTCTTTCCCTAGTGCCCTCAGGAGAGCCTGTTCCCACTGGCATGTTGTCTTTTAACTGTCTTTCCTGTCTTCCCAATGAGCGAAGCTGCTTTGCAGGCTGTTCAGAAACTATCCTCTCTCTGTTAACTGTGAGGCCTTATATACACGGGTAGCTTCTCTAAGTTCTATGAATCCTGCTGGGGGTTGGGGAAAATAACCCTTTGTTTGGTGCCCCAGTGCATTGGAGTTGCAAAGCCAAGTGACATTAGCTAATAAAACTAGGTCTCCTGAAGAGTTAGGCTTAGCAAGTGCCAGTGCCCCGTTGATAAACACCAGAGAGACACCTCTGAAGACTGGCTTTCCCCCACTGGAAATATGACTTCTTTCACTGTCAGGAGAGGTTTAAAGGGACATGCTATGCCCTGGTTCTTTACCGCAGTCACACAGACTATTGTTCTGGTGACAAGGTGCTGTCGACTGCCTTGCATTTACAGACTTGCATTAGCATGGGAAAATGTAGGGACGGGCAGAGAGTAGGCCTGGACTGTCATCCAGCTAGTCACTGCAGTGATAGTCCTGGTGCAAAGCTGCAGAAAGCCAGGCAGTAGTTTAAGTTGTATGGTGGAGAAGGAAGATGTATTTTCGGTCAGAAGGAAGATGTATTCTCGATCAGGAGCTAAACGGTCTTTGCAGGCATCTCAGACCCTTTGCTAGAAAAGATCCTTGTGAAGAGCAAGAGAAGAGGGGGTCAGAGACCCATGTGATCTCCAAGTCCATGCTGGTACTTAAGTTGGATGTACTAGCGCTATTCCAGGAAACAAATGTCACCAGGGTCTTCTATTAAAAGGTGCCAACAGGCTTGATGACACCTGAGAATATTTACACTTAGCATCTGTTGTGTGTATTACTTTGTGCCGGCCACTAGGGGCAGTGAGAGTACTGGAAAGGCTGTCTGAGTAGAGAAACCTACACATAATATGCACCTGCAGATGCAGTTATTGTCATAAAGGTGGGTAAGATGGAAAATGAACACCAAACAGGTGTTCGGCATCCCACTGTGTTGGTGAGATAGTTGTTGGTATAGATAGTTGTGAGCGCAGTGATGGGGAGAGGAATGGGCTGGGGGAACGGGATGCTGTTGCTGAAAGAATAGAGCATGGCTTTGCTTTAAAAGGTCACCTAATAAATATTAAGGCAGTGGAGCTCTTCCATGTTTTGTTTTCCATTGAATTGGCCCATGAAACCTTGCACACCTATTCTCAGTTTCATGGATGTTGCTGTGTCCCTCTCCATGGATCTCTGTAAGAAGCGTTGATGGGTGTGACATTGCTGGCCTCCTGTCTGATGACTCTCCCTTTTCTGTCCTTTTTAGCTCGTTGCTGGTGCTGAGTCACCACAGCCGACTTCTGGAAACTCTCCAACTGCAGATGATCGATCAAAGTCAGCGCCCACCTCCCCTTGTGACCAGGGTGAGACAGATTTGCCCCTTACCTCTTATCTCTGTTAATCAACGCAGCCAGCAGCCTTAGTGGTCCCCACACACCACTTCCTTGTTGTCATGATAGCTGTTATTGAATGCTACTAGGCTTTCTAGTGGGTGCTAGCCAGAAGTGCTCATCGCCTCTGTTCCCTCCAGCGTGTGTGATGCTGCGGTTTGTTACTCCCTTGTTTCTCCTTGGGGTTTCGTGTGTAGGGAAGAAGGGAAGTCTTACCCTTTTGCCCATCACTCTGACCTTCTCTCTGACCTTCTCTAGATGTGTGTGCTTGCTTCACAGTCCTTCTCTTAACTCTAATCATGGTACCACAAAGACTTGAGATGAGGCTGGGTTAGGGGGGATGTCTCCTCTCCCATTCTTTGCATGAGCAGATGGGAATAGAAAGATGAAATTTGAAAGGCAGCAGGGAGTCAGTACTGGGCCTGACTTTCCTCTGGCTACACATTGGGTATCTTTTTTCCTACTGACTAGGTATGCTTCGACAGTAAGTTCTTTGGGCATGATATGCATAAGAATAAGTTTACAGGACCTGAGATGCTGGAGCTAAGCAAGGACTTATGTCTGAAGCCTCCCCCTCTGGTGACAGTTGGGTCCCAAACATCCCTGGAAAGAGCTACATGTACCTGCCTAGCAGGAGTGGCCTCTCAGCATGGTGGTGCTCAGTGTTCTATAGCCTTTCTCCTGATCTTGTCTCTACTGTTTCACTCCCAGCAGCTCTGTCCTGGTGCTCAGCCAGGTAACTGGCTGGAAAGTGGAAAGTTGGGGTTGAAAATGCTTGTCCTGTGTCCAGGAGCTAAGCTGGGGGCCAGGCCAGGCCAGGGCCTCTCCTGTGCTATGAAATCCTCATAGCCCTTCTTACTTGGGTGTGAGATGAACAGTTTTGGTATTGAGTCTTGAAACCAAAATAATCGCCCTCCGCTCATCTTCCTGTGGCTTTGGCTTACTTCCTGTGTCTTTACTTCATTCCACATGAGATTTCACCCATTCCCGAGTAGCCAGCTTACAGATTCCATTCTGGGACAGTGGGGCTTTTGCGGTTTCCCCCTTTTCATGTTGAAACATCCTGGAACTTCAAAGATAATGGTGGACCCCAGTAGAGTGAACCACCCATGGTTCACACCCATGGTTTCCAGGCCTGTCTCTTGCCTTGTGCTATAAGCCTATGCCTCCTGGGGCCTTTATTCAGGTAGACAGACCAGGCCAGGCAGGTACCATGTTTCCTTGCCTGATATGGGAACTAATGGATAGGAAACTCTTATTATATACATATGTGGCACTTATATATAACTACTACAAACTGGAGACGGTTCAGCTGCTGTCTTTCTTCCATCGTTAGACATTTTCCTCAAGCTTTAGGGTCATCTGGATTCTACCTCCCAAGATGTTCTTAGCAAAGTATGAGCAAACTCATACTTTAGAGTGAGTGATGTAAGTAGCTAGGCAGCTGCAGAATCTGTCACCACAAAATACCTGAGGACTGGGATGGTGTTCTTCCATCCCAACGAGTTCACTCTAGATCCCCTGCATGGGTCCCTGTGACTGAAGTCCTTCTGGACCGGAGGCAAAGACCTTGATATCTAGAGGTGATGCTCACTCACCTATCCTCATCCAAGGGACAAACACTCTCTGCTCCTGTCTATGACCCCTGTTACTCATGAAGATCTTTTACAGAAGGATAATGTCAAGATATACCTATCCTGCACAGATGAATACTCATCTTTGTGACTGAATTTCTAGCTACAATAGACTCTCTTCACACAGAAAAGGTCAAAGGGCTTCCCCGCACTCTCATCCCCAGGTAATTTAGGTCACATACTCCAGAAAGCCACAAGACCAGCTCAGAATTATAAAATTGGACTGTAGGATTCCTGCTCCATCAAAGATAAATTGGTGACACGTCATTGTGGGAAGTTCTTCTTTTGTTAATGATAAGCCCGTGGTTCATCCTATGAGGTAGCTTTGTGTGGGACAAGCACTCTGAGTAAAGCCAGCATCAAGACCGAGTAAAGACCTTTAGAAGACAAAGGCTTCCTTGTCTCCGTGAGTCAATGATTCTGTCACCAGTGATGATTGTGAGTGTGGCTTCTATGTGTTGGTTCTGATCTTTAAAGGAAACCTGAAGGGAAGGGTGCCTGTCACCTCTGAGTCTACAGGATTCCAGTGAAGGCGTGAATTCTCACCACTCCTCCAATCATGGTCAAGGTTGCTAGGAGGCCTTTAGAGGCCTTGGGTGGCAGTGAACCCCGCCAGTTCAGGAACTGTGTCCTCCCCACTCCTCTTCGCAGACCGAAGCCTTGTTATATGTAAGGCACCAAAGGAAATGTGCAGGAAAATGTCCCTGGATCTGCTTCCATGAACAACTTGGAGGAGTGCCGAGAGCTCGTGGGTTCTGAATACTGAGTCTTAATGTAAAGGGCTCATGAGGGGTGTTCTGACCTAGCATCTTTTCCCCCTTGGCTCTAGAACTAAAAGAACTTGAAAACAACATCCGGAAGGCCTTGTCATTTGACAACCGAGGAGAGGAACACAGGGCATCTTCATCTACTGATGGCCAACTGGCAAGCCCAGGCGAGAACGGTGAAGTACGGCAAGGCCAGGCCAAGCGCTTGGGCCTGGATGAGTTCAACTTCATCAAGGTGTTGGGCAAAGGCAGCTTTGGCAAGGTCAGTGGCACATGTATGTAGTGGTGCTGGCTTCTTGTGGGCAGTCTGGCCTATCCTTGTCACCTTTTCCCTCCTTTTAGAGTGCAGATGCCCTAATGCCTGGCTGAGGGGGACCCCGGTCCTGTTCTTTGCTTGGTTGTGGGAATATGGGCATTTTCTTCTCCGTAGGACTCAGTCGTTCTCGTGTGTCAAATGGGGAAGGAAGGGATGCAAGGTTTTGTGTGTTTGCCATGTGCTCTTCTTCCTGCTGTCAGGCCCCCCTGCATGTTTCTCCCTTGTGCAAAGAACTATCTGCAATTCTGCTCTCTCAGTAGGAAATCCTAGCATGAACCCTCAGCCCCTGTCCTCAGTGAACTTCAGTGTCAGCAAACCTTACCATGTAGGACTTTGGAAGCCGAGTGTCCCTTGGCTGATTTTCCTGGAACTTACTAACCCTAACCGCTCTGCCCTTCCTCTCCATGTGACAAAAAGATCTGGAGAATCCTGTAATGGATCTGGGGCCCCTATCCCTGAGGATATTTTCCCTGCTCTCCACTGCATCAGATACCCAGCACCCAGTGGGAGCTGTGCCCTTGGGGTGCTCAGTGATGGGCGTGATGGGATGCAAAGATTTGCCTCTCGGTGCACATGAGTCAGTCCACTGGCTGAGCTGAAGGCCTATTCCACTGTTCCAGAGCAGTTCTGAGGGAAGGCTCCTCAAAGCCCCCAGGCACAGGGCCTGCTATGCAGGCATTCACCTGCCCCTATCTGTCCTGAGATCACCTGGCAGGGAGGTAACTGGAATGTACTCAGATGGCAACTCCTGAAGTAATTACATTCTTTTAAAACTAGCTAAATCAGAAGCAGAGCCTGGGCCTCTGGCTTAGGCATGACTCTGGCTTTAGGCTGGGAGCAGGACTGGGTTTGAGTAAGAGACTAGGGAGAGGAGCTTGCTCAGAGCTTCCAGGCTTGCAGGTGATGTGGCGAGCATAGGCATTCTGAGGGCTTACAGGCTGCATTGTATGAGTGGCAAGTTCCTTGGGTTATGTTCTTTTCCCTTTGACAACAACATTGCAGTAGCATACTTCAGAGTCATCTAAAGGAAAAAAAGACCCGTGACTGTGGGAGATAAGAAAAGACCCACTGATAGGCAAATGTCAAGAAAGCAGACCTACTCATTAGCTGTCAGGGAAGAAATTTTGTTTTCACCAGCAGAGCTGTGGGAAGACACTGTGATGGCAAACAGGGTGGGTTTAAGTACACAAATATTCAGGAAGAAAAAGTGGTAGACTGTCATGAAGGAGGTTTGGGGGACTGTCCAGAAAGCAAGAGGTTTGTCTTCATGTACCATATATGTCCTGAACAAGCTAGCAACTGGCAGAAGAGAAAAGGAATTCTCCCCCAAAGGGACTCGATTGGAAAATAAATATTCCAGAAAGTTCGGCTGCAAGTTGAAAACATAACTGAGATAATATCTCCCACTTGTTAAGTCAGAGAAAGCCAGCGAACAGACAAAAAAGTTGTGAAAGCGGCCTGGGCTCATACTAAATCTGTGCTACACACTAAATGGCTTACAGTGTGTGTGAGTGTAGCCCCCTTAAAAATCAGGAAATGGGTTAAATGTTTAATCTTTTATCCAAAAATTTCCATTTCGAGGATAGAAGGCCAAGGAGAAATTTAAATTATATCCAAAAGCTCTCAGTACAACTTATATAAAACTTAATTTGGTATAATTTAATTCCCAATAGGAGGGAGATAGTGGATAAAATACAGTGTTGGTACCTTGAGTATCAACAGACATGGTAACCATGGTGACCTCGTAGGAAAAAGTATAAAATGCTGCTTCTTCTGAAAGCATTCGTGTATAGCGTGGTGGGGTGCACCTATAATATCATCACTTGGGATGCTAAAGCAGAAGTGTCTTGAGTTTGAGACCAACCTGAGCTACACAGTGTAGACTGTTAAAAGAAAGGAAGAAAGTAGGAAAAAGAAAGTGAGACAGGTAAAGGGGAGAAGGAGACATTTGTTCTCTGATAATTACAGTATCACTAATGCAGATGAAGGTATGAATAACTACTTAACCCCTGTGCATTGACTGTCTTTTACCTGAGCACTGTGCCAGAGATTAAAAAGAATTAAAAAGTTTAGCAGCTAGATTGGAAGGGGGGATTTCCTAAACATTTAAAACGTTAATTTCCTAAACATCTTCACTCAAAATGAAAGGGGAAATACAATCGGCATTTAGATGTTTGACATCATTTGATTCTGTGCGTAGGCTGACCAGGTGACTAAAATCCATTGCAGGTCATGCTGGCGGAACTCAAGGGCAAAGATGAAGTCTATGCTGTGAAGGTCTTAAAGAAGGATGTCATCCTCCAGGATGACGACGTGGACTGCACAATGACAGAGAAGAGGATTTTGGCTCTGGCACGGAAACACCCTTATCTAACCCAACTCTATTGCTGCTTCCAGACCAAGGTATGCTTACAAGAGTGGCTGAGTAGTATTGTGGAGCATAACACCTAGCATCTTGACTTTGTCGGGTACCAATTTCTGGCCATCTGCATGCTTCTTTATATGGAACAGTGTGTTTTATCCTTATGGAGACAGGGACTCTTTGGACATGGTCTTCTTTGAAAGGCATGGGACTTCTCCCTTTACAGCACCTTGAGCAGGCACAAGAAGAGCCACAGTGCACTTTGCAGACTGTAGCTTCACAAAACCAAATGGCTGTCCCCAGTGTTGATTCCTTGGGGCGGGGAGGGGAGACAACAACAACTACAACAGCAGGCATGGTGTGTGCTCGGCTTTGGCTCTTAACTTTTTATCAACAGTCACATCACTTCTGGGTTGCTTTCAGCTCAAAAGGAAAGGAGCAAATGCTGCCTAATCTTTCTAACTTGTGTGATGTCATAAGAGATGCCAAATCCACACACGCCTAGAATTCCATGGTGAAAATTCAAGCATTTTAAAATTTACCAGATAGGTGTCTGACTGCCAGCAGGTGGCAGTAAAGGGACGGGATCTGTAAGGGCATTGTGGAGACTCCCTCATCTGACTTGGTATTATTCTTAGGGAGGAAAGGCATATTTTCTTCATAAAATTCTTATTTTATTTCCATTTTTTGGGACATGTGTGGGAGAAGGTCTTCTAGGATGCATTATGGATTTGTAGTGTTTGTCTTTAGGAGGCAAAGACAGCTTGGATCTAGATCCCTACCTCTTCCTGCCTGGAGCCTAGATATTGGAGGGTTGTATTCAGAATGAGAAACAGGGGTGCTGGAGCTATGTGTGCATGTGTGCATGTACTCGTGTATATATATATGCATGCGTGTGTGTGTGCACGTGCATACGTGTGTGCATGTGTGTACACATGCACTTGCACACATGTGAGATGTTTGGCTATCTGGCATACTTGCCACCATTTTGTTCTAAGTATCATTCTCCCTGCTTAGAACTAAGTGAATTCCTCATCCCCCATTCAGAAACTTTTGTTCTATCTATATTGAGTGTTTTCCATATGCTAGGTCCTGGTGAACAGGACCCCATACTTGCCCTCAGAAACTTTATGGTCTCTTTGGTGCAGCTCCCCCGAGGCTACTCCTGGGAATCCTGCTTGTTGGAGGAACTTTAAGAACAGAAGACCTGAGGCCCATGCTTCTGTTCAGCAGTCTCATTACACATTTGTTCATAAGAGTTCCCCAAGAGTCCCGCAGTGTGAAAAGAAAGATTACCTCAGTTTTATCCACTATTGCTCAACTTTTTGGTTCCTACCCTCACCCCTACATGCGACACCTGGTCCACGTTGAGCAACACTGATCTAAGGGGAGTTTCCCTGCCCTCCGATCTCTTCAGAAATGAGAAACACCTGAAAATGTCCAGCCATTCTGTGGCCTCTCCTTCAGGGACACCAGGGTTGCTCTCTCTGTGAAACCAGCCTCAGAGAGCCCTAAAACTCTATTCCTTTCCCAAGCAAGTCTAGGGATGGCTGGCTGAGCCTTGCTTTTCTCTCAAACGTGTGTTGTGTAATTCTAGACAGGCTGGTATAAGTTCATGTATGTGGACAAATTCAGAGTCCAATGTGGCAGAAGAAGCCCAGAAATGGGTTCAACTTGCCCCCCCCCCACACACATACACATACACATACACACTGGAACTTAGCTGTTGTGTTTTTGTTTTTGAGATGGGACCTCATTTGGAAGTTCAGCTCACCTGAGCCTGAAACTTGTGATGATCCTGTTTCCATCTCTTAAACCTTGGCATTCCAGGCATGAGCCACTATATCTGACTCCTTCAGAAGTCAATTTGAGACAGAAAGAGAAATGTATCTGGTCTCGTATGTCTTCATTGTCCATGGTACTTGTCACATGGACTCATGTTCAATATGTGTTTACTGTCACAATCAGATGCTTGGAAATTTCTTTAGTTTTGTCTTAAAAATAATGACAATAGAACCTGTTTAGTCTAGTTTTCTCTTTGCACCACCACTGAGAAAATCGTTTCAGAGAATTAGTGGTCTTTTTTTGGGTGGTGGTGTGGGTATGTATTTGGGGGCAGTACTATTAGGAGTTGAACTTAGAGTTTCATGCACGTTAGGCAAGAGCTCTGCCTCTGGGAAAGGAATAAGAGATTTTCTTATCCACAGGTAGTACATGTTGGCAGTCAAACTTGGTATCTCATCTGGCCTCTGGGATTGCTCCTCCAGTGAGGCCTTGATGTGGTGTGACTGTCGGCCAGCTAAGGGCCACACTGATCTCTACAGGCCCATCTCTGACTGAGGTGACTGTGTAGGGAGGGAGTCACATTACTGCTCTTTCTATGAACTCAGGGTCAAAATCAAAAGGTCCAGGAGCCTAAAAAACAGGTCTATCCAAGAAGGCTCTGTGTGGTCCCTAAATATGGTGGGTCTTAGAGAGCCATGATTGGAGGCCTGCTCTATAGGTAAATGAGAAAGGGTGATGTCATGTTCAATGCCACTGTTTTCTACAGCAAATATGCACTGAAGAATGTCAAAACTGACATTTCTCTTTGGAACACAAAGTGGCATTGAAGAATGAATTTTATTTACAGCAGAAGAAATGAGCTGTCACAGTTTTGAGGGTCTGGGTGGATGGAGGGAAGAAATGGAATTTCCTCTACTGTACAGCGATGGCATTAATTCTTCCCTTAGGCCAATGTCAGATAGTCACAGCAACAAGTTGACACCTCTTTTAAATAGCATGGTAGTCTTAATCTTTAATCTTTAAATGATAGGCTTACTACACAACGTTGACTTACTAATAAAAAGAACTTTATGAAGAACCATCTTATAGAGCATGTCTTAGTAAGGTTTTATTGCTGTGAAGAAACACTATGGCCATGGCAACTTTTAGAAAGGAAAATACTTAATTGGGGCTGGCTTATAATAAGTTCAGAGGTTTAGTCCATTATTGTCATGGCGGGAGGCATGGAAGCAGACAGACATGGTGTTGGAGGAGTAGCTGAGAATTCTGCATCTGGATCCTCAGGCAGCAGGAAGAGTCAGTGAACACCTAGGCCTGGCTTGAATTTCTGAGACCTCAAAGCCCATACCCAGTGGCACACTTTCTCCAACAAAGCCACACCTCCAACGAGTCTATGGGGGCCATTTTCATTCAGATCACTTCAGACCCCAAATTTAACTTTTAAAAACTAACATGTCAGGCTGGAGAGATGACTCAGTGGTTAAGAGCACTGGCTGCTCTTCGAGAGGACTTGAGTTCAGTTCCCAGCAACCACAAAGTGGCTCAAAGCCATCTATAATGGGATCTGATGCCCTCTTCGGACATGCAGGCATATGTACATATAGAGTAATCTTACATACATAAATAAAAACTTTTTAAAGTCCTGACTTGCTCTTTACTGCCCAATGGTCATGGTTTTAAAGAATGGTTGTTATCCTCCTAATTGTAGTAGATGCTGGGCGTGGGGTCATCAGCAGAACACAGATTCTCATGGGTGACTGGGTCTAGGATTGGGGGCTTCTGCGGTAATTGGCACTAAGTAATCCTGCTGTTCCTCAGGGTCTAGTGGAGAAAAGGTGCTTTTGAATGGTGAGATTTAGGCAGGACTGGGAGTTGAAGGGCAGCAGCCACGATCCACGGTCAGCATTCAGTCTTGCTTGCGTGTTGTTTGTTCTTCCAGTTCCCCAGCTACGTGAGCCTCGTGTGGGGATCTAATGGGAGTGACCCCTTTAAGCCCAGGCATTTGGATGCTTGGTCTGAGGTTGGTGGCACTGTTTGAGGAACCTTTGGAGATGTGACTTTGTTGGGAGAACTATGTCACTGGGGGTGGGGGCTTTGGGGTTTAGAAGCCTCTCGCCATCCCTAGTGTCCTCTCCCTGCTTCCAGCTTGCAGTTCAAGACCTGATCCCTCAACTTGTTGCCTGTGCCACCAACTCTTTGCTCTGCCATCATGGGCCTTAACCCTTGGAACCATAAGCTCAATAAATTCTTTGTTCTTAGGCTGCCTTGCTCATGGTGTTTTGTCACAGCAGAAAAGTAACTAATAGATTCAGGGTTTGGTACATAGGAAGAAATAGCTCTCCTGGAAACTCCTGGAACTTTCTGGTAGACTGTGCAGAGCCTCAAGCTGTGTGCTGTGTACAGGTTGGCTGGCGGGCTTGGGAGAGTGTAAGGTGAGGGACTGTGTCTTATCCGGCAACCAGGGGTGATGGCTGTGCAGACCCATTGGCATTAACCGCCATGGTTCAGGCAAGTCTGGTGGCTGCAGCCCACTGAATGGCCATGATAAATTCAATTAGTGGCTTGAGATTTTTCTGTACTAAGCCATTCATTCTGTTCTTGGCAAGCATCATCTTCCTTGGGCTCTGAAAGATACGGAGCAGGTGAAATGCCTGCAGCATTGCAATGGTAGTGAGAATGGGCAAACAGGCCAGCCGATAAGGCCACAAATTACATTTCCATCAAATTCAGACCTTGTGTTAGACTTGATCTCCTGATATGCTGTATGCCTTTTGGGTTTCTAGAGAACCTGAACCAGGCTGGGGAAGCTACAAAACTGGACTTTGAGGTAGGGCTAATATCTACCTTGGCAGGTGCCAAGAGATGGCCTCAAAGTTATTTGTAGATGTCATTTTGACACTTCCCCCACACTGGGCCTCACAATTCCTGTGTCCTACCTACTTCATTATAGAAAAATGGCACAAATAGGAGAAGTTTGGGGGCATCCAGGTGTATGCTGAGAAAATAAGGAAATTAAATTCTTGGAGAGTCAGAGGCTGGAGGGAAAGAGACAGCGGTGCTGTGAACCATCTTTAGGGCCTGAGGTGACACCCTCAGCTCTAAAAGACATGGCCTACTCCAGGTTATAGCTTGGTGGAGAAGCTGCTTTTTGAGAACTTGCTTGTCCCATTGGCCACTAGGGCTCAGAGAGCCCCTAAGAGGTTGACTTGTTTTGATTTTGTGGTTAACAGAAAATTAAAATTCCCATGCCCTTTTA